CTTTGATAACAGGCGTAATTTGCTATGAAAAATGAAGACACTTGCCCCCTAAACCTTCGTTTGCTTGCCCTCAGACTTCGCAGGATATACTATAATATCATTCAATGAAAACAAAGTTTTCTTCAAAAACAGAATACGATAATTATATAGTTTTCCAAACATCATTTTTTGCTGATCTATATTAGATATGTAGTCTGTTGTTATATAATATAATTACACAAGAAAGTGCACTCAGGTTGAAAGTATTTAAAACTAGTAGTAATTACATACATTGTGGTCAAACCAATGGTAGAAATATAAGTTACTAGTGTGGGTTAATACGGCCCATAAACCATCATTGTAAAGCAATTGCATGTTATAAAAATAACCGAACTTTAACTGTGTTTTTTCACAGCATATTTAACTGTATATAATTTTTCATTGTTTGAAATCAAGAAAAACTTCCCTTGGGTAAAGTTCAGTAAAACAAGGATCTTTGTGCTCCATTTGTTACAGTCCACATTGTTTCTTATGTTGTTTAACTGAACAAGCACCTTACTACACATGTGTGCGATTAGTATTAACCTATTAAACCCAAAATTTATCTATTATCTAGCGAAACCACAACCAAGGGACTGGGCTTGGAGAAATCAGCGGTATAGAACATTTTTGGACACAAAACAGTTACAGATGGTATTTTCTCATGCACATACCTCCTTATATTCACACTAAAATTCAACATAAGTACTGGTAAAGTAGGAATTGCAATGTCCTTCTAGCATGTAGTTGCAATGAATTTCTAACAACCATCATCATTCACACTAGGCACTTCATAAAATAACCTCAAGTGATCTAGCTGGTGTAAGTAAGTGACCAATATATAACATGCTTGAAATATGTTACATCAATATTCCACTTGATAACTCAGAAAGTAAAAAATCGTGTTTTGTGCTTCATTTTTTCTATCTGCAGTAGATGGTTTCAACATGCTTATATGAGATGTTAATACCCACGAAAAACCCCCCTTATACATTTGGATGTACTGCAACTCGAAATTTCATGAGCACCCAAGTAGTCCACTGGTTGCAAGCTGTGACTGATCTACATTGTATTGATTTCCCAGTTCATCTACATTTCATTTGTACCGCAGGCTTTATTGGTTAATAACTTCTGCAACATATTCAGCCATACAATATGAAATGCTAGAACCAAGATGAAAGACAATTTTAACCTTACAAAGAATACAACCAATATCATGAGGAGTTCTTGATTCTCCAGTTATCTTAAGCTTATCTCTAATAGCCAGAGAAAATCATTATTAATTGACATAATTGGTGGATTCACCCAGAATGCCTGATGGACTTGAGGTTTAACAAAGATCTAGAATCGTGAGGGTCAACCAAACTTGCAAACTTGTATGTTTTTGCCCTTAGGCACATACTGAATTCTATTGAAGTGATCATCACATCTTTGGACACAAGCATCCAAGTGTGATTTGGTGGTCAGAAACAAACCAAGCTCTCTTGATACATAGCTAATTTTAGACTCAACATTATATTATGCTTTGCAGGGGAGAAAACACAATACTATTTTGATATCACTTGAAAAATTAGCACCATAGCAATAACTTTACAATATCAGTAGAAAGATATTCAAAACTTCCTTCCGAAGATTTGTATGTTTTTAATTTAGGTAATAAGTTTAAGCTAGGTACTTATCTTGAGCCAAAGTATAGTTATCTGATATTAATACAATTATTAAGTAATTCTTGAGTAAACTCTCTAAGTAAGAAGTACGATGTGCCAAAATTAACATTTTTTTGGTGGGATACATATATGAGTAGAGAATCACATACCGAGGAGGAAAAACAGTAAGTTACTTTTGTATGAATTATCCACATTGCCTGTTTCGTTGATTTATAAAATTGCATTAAAAATTGGCAGCTTTTTAATATAACGATCGAAATGATAAATTGCATTGTTTATTTATGGTATACTGATTTGTCTGTTATCTTTGTTCATTGCTTAAAATTCTAGTGAGGATCTGACTGCTGTTACAACATTGGTACAATAAATATTAGGATCCGAGTATTGATGAATAGCTGTTCATAACTACTATATCTATACTGCAACACTTGAAACAACTTGCAGCAGTGAGGTGTAGGTCGAGCTTAAGGCCTGCAAGATGATGGCATCTCTGAAAAAGTTTATTCTAGCTAAAACTGAGCATTTGCAGCTACAGTTGTTGGCTTTTACTCTTATTTGCTGTGACTATATCAATACATGGTATCAGAAATCACGTATGTCAGAAGAAAAATATTCTTGAGACCCATATTTTGCTTCTTGGGTTTGCTTGAAACGTTTTCAATGAATGTATCAGGGAGATCTTCTCATGGACATTTAATTCCATATGGAGAGGTATTTTCTATTTAGGTGTTACAAAGAAACCACAAAAGTTACCAATTTCTTGGACAGTTCAAGGATTTGAGCTTTTATTTCCAATAAACTGTCTTACCCTGAGTTCAGTCTTTTCAAACATTAAAATAGTTGAAGAGCTGGTTCAGATCATCCTTAGCCAACCTTCTGAATGTCAGTCTGATTTGTTTATTTTCATCCCTGATATAATGTCATAAGGCTCCAGTATTTATGTAGATCTGTGGCTGTCAGTCTTTACTGGCAGAGCAAAGCTTCATGACTGCATACATATCCTGTATTTTGCTCTGTCAACTTCAGCAACCTGCCTTTCACTATATGTTGACCGAATGATATGCTAAAGGATTTTAGTCTCTCTCTCTAACGTCTGAGATGTACAATGGCCTCATCTAATGGTGGGGTAACTCCAACTGGTAGAATTTGTTCTCTAGTGGCATCTCAACTCGCTTTAGTCACTGGTGACTCCATTCAATGATAGAGATTAGCAGCATTGATATATAGGCCAGCTCTTACATTGTCATAGCAACTGGTGGTTGTTAACATTTACCACATATTAGAGGTGAAATCAGGAGAAAGAAACTGGCTACTAGCTTGAGAGGTCCTGGGCCACTAAACCAGTGGTTAGATTTATTTTTGTTGTGATCCCGGAAATTACTTTTCTTCTCAACAATGTTCAAACTAAGGTTTATACAAGAGCAGAAAAGAACAAACTTAAACTCCTCAACAAATCTTTGTTCACAAAGCCTAACTTTTAACTTAATATCCCAGTTATGGCATACTTAACAATCAACAGGTGAGTTAATTAAAATCACAGTAGCAGGAGGTCCTGTATTTTGTAAATCAATGTTAAATAAGTTTGACTCAAACACGCACAAAATAGGTTTCCCCGAACCATAACATGATGAAATACGTAACAGGAACCTTATCATTTAGTATAAAAATGATACAAGATAAAACATACCTTTAATGCAATATGTAATGTGTAAATGGCTACTGAATTTATTTAAAAGATGATCTACACGAGAGATAGACGAAGAAAAATCTGTCTGAATATTTAAACACAGATGTTGAGATTCAATGTATGTGTGTGTGTTATGTAACTCCCGCTAAACCGCTGGATGTACCAAACGAATCGTCTCGGTCCCGAGGTTCTCACACCAGTAAATACTTTTACTCTACTCTTGGTGAACCCAAGTATATCCCGAAAATCACTTCTCCTAAACTGCTGGACTCACCAACTTCTAAGTGGTTCCAAACGAATCGCCTCGGTCCCGAGGTTTTCACAAAGGTAAAACTTTTCACCCAGTCATTTAGGGAACCCGAGTATTTCGTGAAAACACTTTTTATGGGATTCTCCAAAAGCTGACCCTAAATTTGGCATTCATTTAAATTAGGCCTACTAATTATCGTTCATAGAAGAAATAGTAGTTCAAGTATTAAATTTGTATTATAGCAACCCTGTAAATGAGAGTCATAGGCCCACGGATTCACTAATTAAAGAAATAAGATCAACGTTTAGTGGTGCAAAATAAATTTAAAATGAGACTGTCCCCAGTCTTTAAATATAATAAAAATTGTTTTTAATTAACAATTTCACTGTATACAGATTATATAAAATACTATGAGACTGGGAACAGTGTTATACACTCTACATGTTTCGACGTCTCATTATGTCATCATCAGGATGATATTAAATTTTTATTATTCTGTGTTGTATTTGAAAATGATCACACTCGTGGTCGAAAAGTTGTTCGTATTTTAACATATGAAAATTTCCAACTATTCAATGCAAAGTGTAAATAAACTTAAATATAACAAATGCTTTGTCCTTACGAAACAGAAATGGTTTCATTTTCAAATCAAAACTTAATTTATCCTCATCAGTGCGAATTATATGACACTACAAAAATTTTACATGACATTGGATGAACGTACAGTAACAAAATTGATGAGTAACCGGTGTATTATTGCAAACAGTGAACAAAAATAGAAAATAATATATATATATTTAATTTTGTGCTCAAATTGTGAAAAATTAATCATATTGTTACGACAGCTGAAGTCATGTGACGCTCGTAACACGTGATGAGTATCTGGAATAGCAGATAGAGAGATTGAAGATATAGACACAGTTAATCGAGTCAAGTGAGCAGTAGTTGACCGTAAG